TATATATATATATATATATATATATATATATATATATATATATATATGTGTGTATATATATATATATATATATATATATATATATATATATATATATATATATATATAAGTGTGTGTGTGTGTGTGTACAGATATGATATTTGATTTTGCTCATTAAGCTTGGTTTAAATATTTTGATAATTTTTCTCCTCAGATATATTACAACAGGGATATATGGGTAGTGTAAGGGTTACTGGCACTGAAAAAGGAATCATTGAGCTAAGCTTAAATTTTACTCTTGTCTGTTGCATTCACTTTTGCACAAATGTCCTTGAGAAAAGCATGAAACAAAAAAAGCAAAAAAAATGCATGAAAAAGCAGATGGGAGTTAAATGACAAAGTAGATTAGGCTCTCTAGCCTTGGATGGCAGCCAGTCTTAGAAGAGCTACTCTAAATTCAAAAGGCAACAGGAAACTACCCTACTATCTTTCCCAAGTCATGGCAATTCACAGATAATAAAGAAAAGCTATTTTTGCAGATCTATGATTGCCTAGGACCTGAAAAAAATTTTAAATATTACTAGCAGTATATATTTTTTTTAAATCTGTTTTTTTTTTAAGACTTTAGCATTCCTTCTATATAAATTTAGATTTTCACTCATCTAATAAAGTCTTTGTAATGAAAATCACATAAATAATAAAATTTAAAATTACAGAAAATCAACACAATGGAAGTCAGTATCTAACAAAGAAGCAAATATTTTATGGATCATACTAGAAAGTTTCTATAAAATATTTCAATAGAAAATATTTGTTAGAAAGCTTTTTTTTTCTTTTCTTTAACACATACACAGTATATTTTCTATCTCCATTAAATGATGTCTACTCCTATCTAGTGGCAGACTGCTGCTGCTGCCACAACAGCAATAAACATAATACTGACTACATTTTTCTCATTACAAGTATAGCTGCTATTATTATTATTATTATTATTATTATTATTATTATTATTACTGCAATTCTCATTACATCTAAACACTAACTACTTGCTCTGCTAATACTTTAACAAAGAATCCAGAAGTCAGTGGCATCACAAAAACAGTGGGAATCAATTCTTTGCAAGGTTATGAAGTGAAGCTCAATGAATGCATATAACAGACATATACAGTGAATGGAGGTCTGCCAGAAACTGTGCTATTCTTAAAAGGAATCCTGGGGAGGAAAAATCAATACAACTAGTAATGGTAATATTAGCCGTTTTCTTACAAGGAAACATTTGACTTTCATTGACTGAGCAGCCTGTGCTACTGCCAGTTGAAATTTATAAAATCTTTCTCTTAAAACAATTTTTTCAGAAAGTAGGTTTCTCAAGTCCACTAACTGTTAGTTCTTATCAAGAATTGTAGAATCATATGGTACATAATATTTAATCATGGTAATGATAATATTGGTGATTTCCCTACAAGGAAACATTTGGCATTTATTGACCAAGCAGCCAGTATCACTTTCAGTTGAAATTTATAAAATCTTTCTCTTTAAAACAATTCTTCAGTGTTATGGGACCTTACCCATAATAACATAATGGACTATTCCATACGTAATAAATACTGCGCCTCAAGAGGAAGCAGGGAGTTCAGTCTGAAGTTGGACAACCGGTTGACCAGCTGATCGGTTGAACTCTCTGCCTTCAGGCAGGGAGGAACCTGAACAATGCTATGCTGAAGGGCGGAGTCTTTTTAGGGGAGGTAAACTGACCCTGAACCCATTTATACAGGTTCAAAGGGCATATTTTTGGCTGAGCCCATGGGCTCGGAGATCCCACATTAAACCGGCCTTGTGCCACATGATGCCCTCGTGGTGGGGGTGACTAAATACTGTTCAGTCTGAAGTCTGGAGTGAGGTCCGTCAGAAGTCCATCAGGAGTCTGTCAGTCAGAGCGAGCGAGTCAGTCAGTCGAGTCAGAGGCAGTCCGAAACAGAGTCGCGTTCAGACAATTACTACTAAACCTGATTGTTCGTACTAATACTTTTTAATTCTCTGTATATATTCCTGTTTGTAATATATCTGTGTTATTCCATATACGTGTTCGAGTTCTTCTTTATTGGTTCTACCTTGGACTATCACCGTGGTACAAGGAACCGGACCATAACATTCAGGAAAATAGGTTTCTCAAGTTCAGTAGTTGTTATCACTCTTTCCAGTATTGATGGGAGCTTTCAACCTAACCTTTTATTTAAGTTTATGCAGAATGTCAATATCTTGATTATGTTACACCAGAAACATTCTAATAATAATGTCTAAGAAGGCATTTTTTTATGGTTGGTCAGGCTGATAATTTTTCAACATGTTCTCATATAAAAATTATCCTCTATATTGGAATATTTTAGTAGATATTATTTAGAATTATATACACCAGAAACATTCTAACAAGAAATAATTTAATGAAAGAAAATCTATTATAGCTTTGAGACTATAGAAATATTTTATTATTAGGTGCCAAAGAGATGTTGGGGAAGATGTTTACTTTTTTTTATTGAGGAAATTTTTTCAACACTGAGCTTATTAAGACTATCTCATTATCAATATTTAACTTTTTGACTCTTTAAATGATTTTCCAGTCACCATTTTTATTAAGAACCCCATTTATTGCATATTGAGAAAAAATTTGACACTCTCTTGTATGAGGCATCAAAGAGTAACATAATGGTTGCAGATAGAAAGGACAACAATACTTTCACTACTTTTTCTTTTTAATCATTTCACCCCAAGCAAGGGGATACAGCCACTAAGATGCAATAGGATACTGAGAGTGAAAGAAAATTACAGAACATTATTGAGGAGAAAGAACAATAAAAGAACAGGATTCAAAAATACAGAAGATAATGATTGATTTTGAATGGAGAGCTCCACAGGTGAGAAGTGTTATAGAAGAAACTATTAAAATAAAGCTTATGATTACATCTAGCTATTTTAACAGTAAAATTATGAGACCTAATTGTCAATCTAGTACTCCATTTAAATATTTGATATAAAGATCTTTGGTAGGAAAATGTTTTATGTAAGATATTACAAACTAGATTTGTTACTGACTTTTATTTCAGATCAGATTGGTAGTCGTATAAAATAAATTTTACTTATGCCACCAATCAAATAGTCACCGTGTTTAGTTAGTAATAATTTACCTAATATATACTCTGACTTAAAAATCTGAAGTAGAATCAAGAGACATCTGTGAAATTTTAAGGATTATATCTTAGAATAAGAAATATAGAATAAATTTGGTAAAAATAAGCACTATCATGGGGTGTAGCATTCAATGTTTATAATAAGCAAACAACATCAAAGATGAAATAATAGAGTTTGTCCAATGATTTTACTCATTTATATAAATTTAATTTGATTCTCTGAAATCATTAAATTTTTTTTATCAGAAATCAGCACAAGGTAAGTGAGAAATTTGTTTAATGGTTAATGACTTCTGATTTTTTTTATTCATTTCAGCCTAACAAAGCAATAAAGCCACTATGACACAAGGGGTTACTGATGAAAGAATATGAGAAAAAGAAAATGTTATTAAGGAGAGAAAAAATAAAAGAACAGGAATTAAGAAGATAATGATTGACTTTGCATTTAAATTTTTCTGATCAAAATTTTAAATGCAATGTTAATCATCAACCTGACTTTGAATTCCAACCAAGTTCCTTATGTTTACTATTGCAGAAATACCCTTGAGAAAAGCATGTATCCACCTCTTCTCCTCCCAGCTATAGATTAAATAGCATGGCTAACTGGGTTTTCTTGCCTTGAGGTGGCAATCAATCTAAAAGAAAAGTTCTGAATTCAAACAAGCCTGGAGAGGTTTGTGCTCTATCAAGTTATCTTGCCTAAGACACACAAAAGTTGCTATGGCTGAAGTACATGAGCCCAATGGGTTATGGATCTCAAGATGTGACATAACAATATGAAGTAAATAAATTCAGAGAAATAAAAATAAAAGAATATAACTGATAAAATTGAAATGTTAAACTAAATAATTTAAAAAAACTGTACTGTTCATAGTTTGGTATAACTTCAAATTCAAGGAAAAATTGAAACAAGAATATAGATTTTTTTAAAAATTAAATTTAACCCATACAAGGCAATAAAACCACTAAGACACAAGGGGTTACTGGGTGTGAAAGAAACAGAAACGTTACTAAGGAGCCAAAACAATAGAAGAGTAATCAGTAAGACAGTAGATAATGATTGACATTGCATTTAAATTTCTGTCTTCCATCAGCATGGCTAATGCTAACCTCCAGAAGAGTGACTCATTGTGCCTTTTCAGGCTAACATTCTCAGCTGACATGAAGTAGAAAAATTATATTGAATATATTGCTAGGTCTGCTGCTAAAAAAAGTTGGCTCATTATGTCATATGAGGCAATTTTTCTTTCTAGAATCTAAGTCCAATTTGTCCATGCTTTGAATATTGCTGCCACATTTGGTCTGGTGCCCCTGTTATATATTTAGAGATCCTTGACAAAATCCAAAGAAAAATCAGCAATATTACTAGTCCTGACCTGGCATCTTGGTTTCAGTCACTTTCCCACCACCATAAAGTGGTATCTTTTCTATAAATACTTTCATGGTAATTGTTTGGATAAGCTCTTTGCTATGGTACCAAGACTTTATGAATTTAAGTGCAGTACTAAATTGGCAACAAGGTCTCACTAATTTGCAGTTGAACTGGCTAGATGTAACCATAAGTTCTATGCTAACAGCTTATTTTCTCACACTTTTCATTTGTGGAACACTCTTCTGACTTCATGCTTTCCAGCCAACTTTGAACTTCAAAAATTTAAATGCAGTGTCAATCATTATCTACTGTTTTATTGATTACTCTTCTATTGTTCTTGCTCCTTAATAACGTTTGTTTTCTAATTCTTTCACACCCACTAACCCATTGTGCCTTAGTAGCTTTACTGCCTTGCATGGGTTGACTTCGATTAAAAAAGAAAGAAATGTCTGAAATTGACATACCTTCACACCACAAATCATCATCTTCAATTTTAACATGAATAGGATCTCCAATTTCAATGGCAAGTTCATCTGAATGGCGAGGTATAAACCGGTGCATTCCTCGATGGGTCACCTCCAGTTCTTGATAATTGGCACACACTGAGCTTGAACTGGAAGACTTCCGTCTTGATTCTGGAAAAAAAATTAATTCAAAATTTGATTTCTATATTAAAAACAAAATTTTAAATTAATTTGATAATCAATATTTATATCATATTATTGGATTTACAAGTACAAGACTGACTAGAATGGGTATAGGATCAGAAACATTTCTCCAGTTACTAGACATCCATTTCACTATAAGGGAATTGGGCGGTGATTTTGGATCCTTTTTTTTTTTTTTACTGAAACTAAGAACTAAACAGAAGACTATGTTTGACCTCAGCATTGAGTTGTATTATTTGTCTAAAATCATTAATGCTATTAATTATTAAAATATATTTGAAAACATCATTTTCTTTTTTTTTCTGAAACTAAAACTTCAAGATGTCTTACATTTGGAAAAAGTCTGTTGGTCTCATTCCAGAAAATAATTTCCCCCAAAATAAACTTGTGTATTTAACATCAAAACAAAAAGAGGTTTAGTTGAATAATATATCTAATAATAAAAATGTTCATTTCATGAGAGGATTTGATAAAAAATATAGAATCAGGAATTTTTAAAACTTAATATGATTTAGTCTCTCCACTATATACACTTTTAATATCTGACTTAGCCCAACCCCTTATTTTCTGGCATCCTGTATCTTGCTAGATATCTGGTATTATACTTATTACTCACAGAGTTAATATTTTTTTTACAAATATTCATTTTCACAATTTCTGTATGTTTTTTAACAAATATTCATTTTCAGAATTTCTGTAAGCATTTATTATATTCTGGCTTTTTATATAATACTCAGTTAATTATCAGGACTGTGTAAGATGAAAATGTTATCAAGCTCAAGTTTATTCAGGACATAATCTTTAATTATAATCAATAATTACATATAACTTAGTATGAACACTTTTTCTTATATTAATTATTCTTCAAAGCATTGTCAGAGATTTTGAGTCACTTAACAATTTTATGAATCTTTTTATATAAAAAAAATTCTGTATACAAAACTTCACATTTCTTACATATCATTCATTGTTAATGAAACAGGAAATAATCCCAAGCAAGCCTGTGCCCTGTAGATGTCACTCTAGCCTCACCACCAAAAGACTGAATTTTGAACAAACAGGGCACTGCTTTTATCTTGCAAGATAAACTTATGCCTACTAATATATATATAATAATAATAATGGACTCTCCTGTCGGTTTCGACGTATGAGGATCTGACAGCTTATTGATTCAGTTATGAAATTTTGTGCGATATTCTTAAGTGGCATTTAAGACCCGCTAGTGATTTACAAAGGAGGCCACATATGGAGCAAGTGTGAGGATTGTGAGATGAGATCACTGTTAGATTTGATGACCCTTTAGATCTTGCTCTCACTTCTTGAAGATGATTCAGACAAGCAAATTGAAAATTGCTGAGTGCACTAAAACACATTGATCTCCATTCTACCTGCTCCAAGGCTAAGCACTCAAGGGTGATATGTGGTATATTGACTGGTGCTTTTTACTTGTCTTTGTATCTTAGCCATGGGCATCCTATATAATATTTTAAAAAAAATTAAATTATATATATATATATATATATATATATATATATATATATATATATATATATATATATAATTTAATTTTATTTTATTCATTTATTATTCTTATTTATACTGTTTGGATTACAATATTTTCATTCATTGATTACTCAACATTACTTTATTGATTGTTATATAATGTCCTCTCAAGTTGTTTTCTCTTATGTGGAATCTTAAATTCTTTGATTATCTGTTAAATGTTCTTTTAAATAAAGACAAGTATTCTTATGTAGATGATAATAATCTTTAGTTACATATAGGAGGCTTTTAATATTTTTGAACATTTTAAAGGTTTTGTTCTCTTAGCATGCAAGAAAAACTGAGACCTGCCAAAGAATTACTGATAAATATGAGGCAATATGAGTAATTATTTATAATCTATTTTACATATTTTATGCTATATGAAAAGAAATATAGCTTCACTGTAAGATCATCAGACAATTCATGTGCAATGAGAATAGTTCAAGATTAATTTAACTTGTTACAATTTCAGGAAACATGCTGGAAAATAGTACACATCTGTATGAAAATGAAGATATTGGATACATGTGCATTATATATATATATATATATATATATATATATATATACACACACATATTGAACATTTTTACTTTGACATGTTTTATGGATGAACTGTCTTATCAGGAAAATTATTTTATTTTATTTTCTACATTCGTCAACAAAAAAAAGATTCATATTAAGAATTTGAATCTGTTTGATTTTTACTTTATCTGCCAATGAACTCTGCTTAATACCACTAGGTGGTGTGACAATTAACAGTATAACTGTAAAGGACAGACTTTCGTTTTTTGCTTTAGGCTTTAGTAACAACATAATGGGGAGAGATTTCTTTCTCTGGACAAACTAAGAACTTTGTTTCACCAAAACATGTGGCACACTTACACAAAAATATGCACACTACTGCTAAAGCACATAAATGTTTTCTTTCCTTTTTGTTACACCTTGTTGAGGATGCAGATATGAACTTTCAAAATAAAGGAATTCATTGTGTGGAGGATTTTTCATATATGTTTATATAAAGAACACCATAGCTCACAAAAGAAGAGAAAGAGAAATTATATTTACATGTATACAGATATCTAACAAAAGGAAGAAAAAACATTTATGTAATTAGCATGTGTGAATGCACCACATCAATTGGTGAAACTAAGTAGTTGGCTTGCCTGAAGAAAGAAATCTCTCTTAACATAAACAAGCACAAGTAGCAGACAAGGTGGGGTAATCCCACACTCAACAACTAAAATCTTCTTTTATGTGTTATGTCCTTTCAGGATGTGAGTGATCATGGGGCACTACAACTTCTTATCCCTTGTAGAACTAAGCAATGTTTGACCCCTTACTATTCCTCCCTCTTCACATTCTACTGTCTATTTACATAAGCTCATTAGGTAGGTTACTTGCTCTTTCTATCTGCTCCTCTTGCCTTCAATATGTCCTGTGAATGTCAGATTCTCTAAGTCCCCTTTCCTCATTATGTGTCCCAGAAATTTCAAATGTCTCTTTCTGATCTGAAGCAGAAGTGTCCTTTTCATTCTCATTTTCTTTAAAACTTCCTTGTTGCTCACATAACAAAAAAAAATTCTTGTTACTTGCTCATCCCTGAAATATTCCACTTAGATTTGTACCTCTGTATAAGGAATCATCTCATTACTTTATTGGCAGATACAAAAGAAAGCAATCAGTCAAATAGTTACACTTCGCTCTTACATTCAAGAACACTAATGCATACTTATTTGTTATTGCTTTTTATTTTTTACTTGTTGCATAAAGAAAATGTGTATATTTTTTTTTATTGAATTATTTATAATTTGCTTTAAAAGATTTTTCTATATATGTAGGCTGATTGTATTTTTAAAAAGTGTATATTGCTTTTACCTTATTAAAAGTAAAAGAATGTATCTGCATAAATACTGTTTTATCTTTCTTTCATAACAAAGTTTCTGAAAGTGATATAAAAAGGTTGAAAATATTAATTTCATTAATGGAGCTAGTATGGTGTATTGGAAGGTAGTTATGTTTGTAACACTTGATTTACAAATGTAATAATTGATTTCTAGTTGACAACTCTAAACATAAAGTTAGTCTAGTATATTTAAAATATCATGATAAATATATAAGGAAAGTTGAGCACAAAAAAATCAAACTATGGCTTTACAATTTAGCTCACTTGGAATTCTCAGGTTTGCTTGTAAAGTGTTAAATAAACTTAATTCTACTGTGTAGTAGGTGGTGTTTCCAACATGATATAGTATTATCTTACAGTCTCTGAAAATTAAACATATCATTTCCAAATATATATAAAATTCAGCTTTTGCTTATATATCAAAGCCATTGTCATGAATAAGTAAGGTATTTTATCCCAGCTTGTAAGCTAGTCACAAAATTATCATATTCAGAATTTGAAGATTCTTTCTTTTAATCTCCTCCTTACAGTAAAAAATATCATATATACTCATGTATAAGCTGACTACATGTATAGTGCAACCCTTGAATGTTTTTGCATGAATTTTAACCCTTCCAGAAACAAATTTATCTATGTATAGTGCAACTGGTCACTGAAAATACATGATTTTTAACTATTTCAAAAAAAGAAATAAATTACCTGTATATAGTACAACCTCTTATTTTTTGCATAAAAAAATTTACATGATACTCAATTATATACAGTAATTCATTTAATATGGATACTTGCAACTACCAGTCAATACTTTATTACAAAACTTCATTTGTATATATATTCAGAAGTTATTAATTGACGAAATAAAATTTAATTAAATTAAAAGAAAAATATTATTTCACAAGCAAATGTTAAGTTTGCTTTTGTACTGTAAGAGATCTCAAATAAGAACTTTTTAAGCAATGCCAGATGAATTTTAGGAAACACCTTTAAGATATTTTGAAGTTTATTCAAAGTAATTCTGTAATTTCAGTCATATATTCCTTCCCATTAAAATGATTAATTGTTCTGATTAATTAAGTGATCTGATTTTACAACAAATTTTAATGAACTGATGTAATGAATATGCATACACATGGGTTCCCCCTCACAATAATATGATTGGCTGGTGTCATCCATAAATACAGACTGATGTGGAGGTACAGGGACGATGCCTATTGTCTTCACCTATTGCCTACACCTATTGCCTACCACTATGATGAGTACCAGTCCATTATGGTTAACTGCTAAGATTGTCCTACCCGGTTACAGTAGTCAACAACCACTTTGCTACTTCAAACAAATATATCCCTTTCTGGGGCATATCATGAACTTATATAAAAAATAGTCTTCTAAAGATACCTGAATTTCTTAAATGAAGAATTTTTTGTTACCATGTATACACTCAAATATAGTGTGGGTTTTTATGATCAGTTTTTTTATGCAAAAAATAAGTGGTTGCATTATACACAAGTAAATACTT